GGGAGGTGGGCGGAATATAATATTGAAAATAATTCAATATAAATTTGACAAAGGAAACAACAAGACTAACATAAGTTATCAACATTTGTTGGTTTTAAAAATACTGTTTGAAAACTTGACAAAGTGAAGCTAATATTGTATACATATAAACTTGCCTCTACATGTTTGAGTCATGTCTTTTGTCTTTTGCGCACCTGCTTGATGATGTTTACTTCAAGTCATGCATGTATAAGACATTAATAATTAGATTGTAACATGCTTATGCATACAAGAAAATGTATTTAATAATTTAAATATAGTCCATAGACATATGACCTTATCTACATTTAAATAATTTAAATATAGCAACAATGCAAATAATGTAGAGTTTGTAAACTTAGCTAATTTTTCAATATCTATATTTTCATATTGAAGGCATTATTGAGATAACATATATCCTTTTATGCTTATCTCTAACCTACAAAAATCACACAGGTTAAAATAAAACAAGTATTACACACGTGTTTAACTTTTATGCTTATCTCTTACTCTATTGCTTATGTGAGAATATTAAATAATTCCATGACAATCTCAATACTATTTATGCTTATCTCTAACCTCCATGCAACAACCACGTGCTTAGTTGACCCATATATAACTTCTTTTATTGATTAGAGTTTATAATTTATAAATTACGGGAAAATACTCACCATTTTATAATTTATAAATTACGAGAAATTACTCACTATTCTTCCTCTAATTATATAAATTACGGGAAAATACTCACTATTTCTTCCTCTAATTAGTTTTGTCCACAATTCTTTTATTTTTCGGTTACTCTCTTATTCAATACTATACAAATATGCACTGAAAATTTATCAGCTCTAATTTCTCATTGTTTTATCTGTTTCAGTTCAACCAACAAGATATATTGGGGATATTAACAACAACAAATCTACGGGATGGAGAATTTAGATACCAAACGTAGTTGGAAAAGTAAAGAAAGAGACTGAGTCAAAAAAAAAAAAAAAAATGCAAACCATAAAATGTTATTACAGGTTTTTATGAAACATTAAATTTATGTATTTATATGCAAGCTTTACCTTTATACTTACTGTATAAGTATGATTGAGGTGGTTGACGTCTTTCAGGTTATGGTGCATTTTCAATTTGGTTCTCGAGCACATGTTACCAATACCAATAAAAAAAATTATTATAAGAACAATACAATTCAATGTATGTAAATCGATATATAAAAAAAGTAGTACGATAATTAAAGTAGCATGTATTCACATCATTCTGCCAATCTCATGACAAAAAAAATAATAATAATAAAATTGTAGAACAAACACAATGAAATCTCATACGAGTTCCGAATTTCTGTGTGAAAATTTTAAATCGTATATAAACGGTTGAATCTTTGTATAAAATACAATCTAATACGTTATTATTTTTACAAAAATCTACTTTTCGTTATCAAAATTGCAGATCGAGCACAAAAAAAAAAATCAATCTGGGCATCAAAATCGAGTTAAAATGAGATTTTATTTATTTTTTAATAAAAAAATCATTTTCTGTCTGAAAAGTGAAGACCGCACACGAAACTTTGCATTTTGTTGAAAACTGAAAACAATCTAAATAAAATCGTACAAACATATGGTTATTCTCTAGGCTTGGCATAGCCTCATTCTTTGTACCAAAAAAAAAAATTAAAAAATAAAAAATAAAAAAATTAATAATAATTATAATTCGTAAAAAAATAGGAATACATAATACTGAATAAAAACTATAAATATATTAACTAATTGCAGAATTTCAGTGTGCTAATTCAAAATCGAAAATGATACTTGAGCTAGAAATCATAACTAAATAAGAAAATCGAATTTCATGTCTTAAATTAAACAAGAATAAAAAAATTTCGAAGATGAAACATGAGGAGAGGAAAGAGTGAAGCGGCCGAAATGGCAAGCCTAAACCTAAAGCCGACCAAATGCTATTATAGGGTTGATCTCACACGTATATTTCGGTTGATTACTGTCAACCATACGATCCTTTTTTTAACTGAATTGTATTTGGGCTCTCTGTTTGTGGGCTGTTTGCAATAAAGAAAAAGGAAGTTACATCATGTACAACATATATCACTTTTTATTGCAAAATTATCACATGTATAACATTAATTGCAAAATTACTAGATATATAAAAAATAATTAATTTAAGCATGCAACTAATTGATGTCATGATCGTTCTTTTATTATATAATTTTAATTTAAAAACGAAATTACCTTTTAAAAAGACAGAAATAATAAAACTCGTGCATCGCACGGAGACTATACTAGTCTATATAAAAAGAATTAATATTTTTTAAAAATAGTAAGTAGAAAATCCAACAACATTAATTGCATGCCATTTTTGGAAATATTTTGAATTTTTTTAAACAACAAATTGACAATCATTAAATGTAGCCTAAAATTATGGATTTTGGAAAACAAAAAAACATAATTATAGCTTCACAAATTTCACACATGTTTCCAAAATTATAGCATTGCGTTATTTGTCTTCTTCTTCTTCTTTTTTCTTTTTAAACATGATTAATCTATTATTTTACAAAAAGAATATCCTTTTTATAAATTTAGAAACAAGATCATTAATTACATACTAAAAATAACATAATTAAATTTTTTTTAACTAAATGCCCATTTGTTTGGAAATAATCCCTATTTATATGGATTCTTTCATATAGTTTTGGTATATATAAAAAAAACCGAGATGAGCTATTTGATTTCCGAAAAAATCAATAGCAATAATTTGGTAGTTATTAGTAAATATTTAGTGCGAATAATTATATGCATACGTAATTTTTTATTAAAGTTAATGTGAAATCAATAATTGATCTAAATCTATTGATTAAAATTTTCGAAATTTTTCAATCAATTATTTTGTTTCTACTTAATTTATTTTTATTTTTATTGATATGGTATCATAAGATTTGAAGAAATATTGGTTAAATCTACATAGACAATTGTCTTAGTCTCCGTTCAATATAAAATAAATCTCATTTTATTTGTAAAATTGATAAATCTACATAAAGTGTGGAAGTTTATGTCTACAAAATTTCTTTTCACAGTAACTAAAAAATAATAATATTTTTGAAACTTTTATACTCAAACTATTTAAAAGAATAATAATAATAATTTTGAAAAATTTTATACTCAAATTACTCAAAAGAATAATAACAATAATAATTTTAAAATCTTCTATACTCAAATTTT